TATTGAAAGTTTATTGCTTTATTGAAGGCTGAGAGAGGGATGGGGAAGAGATTTCTTACTACTACAGGCGATGCCCCCCTGCAAGCACTGGCCAGGGAGTGGAGTGCCATGGCAGTTCCAGAAGCAGCTGCGGCCACTTCCGGAAGTGGCCACAGCAGTCAGCCACAGCGACTGGCCATCTCATGATCGGCCACGGGGGGACACCTGCACCCCATCAGTGAGATTTGGCACCCCCCTCTGGTCGCTTACTGGTCTCTGGTGGGGGCATGTCCGTCCCCCCCCCCCTCCCCCCCCGACTAATACAGCACCAGTTGCCCATGGCTCAGGGGTTATAATACCTCATTAGCTGTAAAGGGGGAGAATAATGACTAGACACTTGTCAGTCCACCTACATTTAAAGTGGAAGAGCTGCTCCCCATCTGCAATCCTATTAATCTATTGGGGATATTTGGTGGGGCCAGATAGTGTACGTGTCTCCTGATGAACACATTTCATTGGACTAAAATAGTCAATTTTTTAAACATTGCTGCCTGCTCCATGATAAAACTGGCAATAGACCCCTTCACAAAGTACTACTTCCTTCTGGCTTCCAGATGTTGCAAGGCAGCTCATTTAACTATGTCCAGGTGTTCTTGACCCATGCAGCCAGGCAGTAATTGAAGGGCATAAATTTAGAAAAACAAGGACTTTAGAGCTTTCCCAATAGCTGCAAAGCCAAGGCAGTATCCTCATCCTGGACAATAGAATGGTGTGTGTATATATGTGTGTAAGAGAGAGTAGATGATAAGAAGGGCATATAGAGAGTCAGATTCATGGGACAGCTATATTTCAGCCCCACAAATTCCACACAGCTACAACAAAGAGATTTCTTTTCACATTATTCTCCAACTCAAGCTTCCTTCCCTCAAAAGCAACCAAAATACATCAACCTGGGCATTCTTATTTTGGGGGTGCTGAGACTTAATGAAGGGATGGGAGGTCCATTCCAATTTACCTTTTTCCTTTGCTGTTCCTGCAACTTTCTCCACTGTCTTTGTCTCCTCTGCAGCTGGTTGGGGGCACAATGGCTGCAAAACCCACAGAGAATATTCACTACAAATCATTTTAATTAGCTTGGTAGACCAGCTGTCTCATATAACTGTTTATCCTGCTTAAATGTTAACAACTTTACAGCTACAATCCAATTCTTTTCTAAGGGTCTATTCCCAATTATAATACTGTTCAGAGGACTGGGTCTGAAAAATTTAAACCAGTGGCTTTGTTTGCTTATAGTTGCCAAATGTTGAATACAACCATGAGTAGTGGCTTGGTTTTGAATTAAATGTCTTCCTGTTCCGGTCAGCAGCTGTGTGTATGCTGTCTATCTAAGATGGAGATGATTTCTATTTATAAAATAGCTCACATGAGCTGTATTCATTTCAGCATTTCCCCTGACATTCTGAAAGTGTGAATACATGATTCATGGTTAAATTTCTTTTTGGTGTGTCACCCAAGCCTGTATTAAGGCCATGAGACATAAACAAGCTGTATCTGCAGGAAAATCACTCTATAACAAATAGATATGTCCTGAATTTAACTGAATGAATGTGGGTGGAAGACAAGAATTTATACTGTTGAACATAGTAAAATGTATCCAGCCTTGATTAATACATCAAAGCTATTATGCGAGGATAATCTTTGATGTTGGCACAAGGAATGAAGATTTAAATTGTCAAAAACTAGTGACAATAAACATAAAATCAGTTCCTGTATATATTGAAAATTTAAATTCTTACACTTCCAATGCAGCACCAAGATCTGGCATATTAAACAAAAGTACGTGCTTAATTTTGACACCGTTACTGACTTGAATAATTAGTTCTATAGTCATAGAAATGTGGGCTAGCTTTGCATTTCAGAGTATCTTTTTGCAGGTCAGATCCCATCTGGTCATTATGTAGGTGTGCAATAAAGTGAATAGAAAGGTCTAAGAAATCTCCATCCCCTTTCCACAGACCCCATGCAAAGGGAAGGCAGAACCACACTCTGGATTTGTGGTGCTTTCAGAGTGCAGGTGTTGGTTATTACTTAAGTCGTACACAGTATGAAGGTCTCACTTCTGGTGTATTTCCATAATACTAATTACATTTAAAATGGACTGTAATATTCTGATAACTCAAGTCAGTCAGACCCAGCCTGTGGTGTGTGCAGTGTTTGAGCAAATTAAGTAAGCTCACCTGGGCTTTTCTGCATTCATAGAACAATGACAATTACAAACTTGCCTTAACTCCTTGCATTTTTCCTCAGCTGGGTAAAAAGTAGGGTGAAGCTGGGATTATGCTGGGCCAGATACTGAAATACCAAAGTGCTGAACTCTCTTCTATTTCAGTGGAGGTGCAGGTGCTTGGTATTTCAGCATGAGGCTCCATATCACGTAAATTAAAAGCTTGAAACAAAGCTACAGCTTTGCTGGGGGATGTAGGGGGATGGTTAGGAAGGCCAAGGCAG